TGAGCATCCTACAAAACCGCTAAGAAGCACTTGGGCGAGATACAGAAGAGTAACCGGAACTGCTGGACAGCGTAATGTAACGAAAAGAATTGTGATCACTGGGGACAGGTATAAAAAATAGTCATGAAAAAGTTCCGAAACCCATCGCAAGCTATGGATGAGGTCTGAGCTAAGAATATAGTGTATGTAATATTTCCCACACACCCACTAAGAGCAGATACATTGTTCGTCGAGGAGAAAGCCGGTGTACCACTTTTTTCGGCAGTCAACCAGAAGTTAGCTCTGCGAAGCATGAAAGCCGGCAAGGATTCCGGCACACCAGCGGAGACAATCAGGTTAGCAACAAAAACGAGCCTTATCTCCTGCTTAACATGTACAACAGCTGCCTTAGGGACCGGGTCTTCCCAAGATAATGGGATAGGCGAGGCTGGTGCTTATAGCCAAGTGCAAAGGGGACCCAAACTCTCCTTCCTAATTCCGGTCACCCTTCTTGCTAGACACAGCAGGCAAAATGATGGAGAGTCTGCTCAAAATACGCTTGATGTAAGCCATAGAAAATGAGGAAAGCCTTTCACCCCGAAAACATGGCTTCAGGAAGGGACACTCAACTATAAGAGTAATTAGTGAAATAGTCGAGGCGGTACACGGAACGTCAAGAACGACTTCAACTCGGCAATATGGGAAATTCTGGAAGCATTGAACCGGTCATTAAAGGTTCCAACATGCTTGTTAGATATGATCCGAGACTGCGACAGAGACCGTTGTCTGTTGTACGACACAACGCAAGTTCTGAGAAAGAAACGTATACCCGCCGGAGCGGCACAAGGGTCCGTACTTGACCCGGACGTCTGGAACGCCACCCATGACAGTGTGTTGCGCACAAAAATACCGGCGAGCGCCTTCCTTGTCGCCTTCGCGGACAACGTGGCCGCTGTTATAACAGAAACAGTAAGAAACACCCAGCTGGCTCAAGATGGATGAGCGGTCACGGTATGCTATTGGCTACAGCCAAAACAAAGGCCGTGCTGCTCACAAAGAAACGGATCCCAACAATTATAAACATGATGGTCGTACCTCAGCTCGTGACAACTTGTAGGTCTACAAGGTACATAGGAGTGAAGCTTGACAATAAACTCACATTCTGGGAAAACATGCATGGATTATGTGAAAAAGCTGCACAGAACACGGTCGCCCTTAGTCAGCTGATGGCGAATGTGGGTCACCAAAATCCATGCCGTAGGAAACTTTTTATGAGAGCAGTCCAGTCGGTGCTCCAGTACGGGGCACAAATATGTGCCGACGCATTGGCAGTCAAAAAATTACGGATTCAAATGACTTCGGTATTACGTAGAGCACTACGCATTGCTTCTGCATACCGTACAATCTACGCGGACGCTGTTCTAGTTATTTCTGGCGTCATGCGAATTGAGCTTCTTGCTCTCGAGCTCAATAATATTTACAATCTCAGTGCCGAGATAGGCGGAGTAGCTGCCGCGGCAAGGGCATGCGAGCAACTAATCCAGCAGTGGCAACAAAACTGGAACTCGAGCACAAAAGGTAGGTGGACGCACATCCTGATAACAGACCTTCAAACATGGTTGAAGCGACGGCCCGAGGAAGTCGATTTCAACCTCACAGGTCATGATTACTTCCGAGAATACCATCATAGGATGGGCAGGGTGAAATCAACATTCTCTCGCTAATGTGAAAATGTCGAAGATAATGAGCACCATACATTCTTTACCTGCGAGCACTACTTTGCTTCGCGCAGAATGTTGGCAGAAATAGACGGAGACTCAACTCCGAATAACATAAGGGGGGTAATGATCTCCAGTGTAGACAAGTGGGAAGCGGTCGCCAGATGCGTGAAATTCGTACTCCGCTAGAAATGAGAAGACGGATGTCTACTTAAGACACCCGAGTGAAATGCCCCTACAAGAGAGAAGACCTGAGGCTCTAGCAGTATGTTCCTGCATCTGAGGACATGCAGAGTTGCGGTGCCAGATACGGGGTTTTTGCCCGGGAGGTGGGAGTTTGTGTTGTAGTGGGTAACCCAACACCTTTCGGTGGGAGTCCAACACTCGGGGAAAAAAGAGGGTCTACTGCGAGCTTTTACAGATTTTTAAAAGATCGACAACAAGTTTGGTAGCGGATTTAACTGCAACACTCACTAAATCTGAGCATGCCGCTCCATGACCACTGCAGCGTATAAAGGTGGCCACCCTATGGCTTAGTAGCGTCGCACCTTCTCTACAGTCTGTTAGCATCTGACAGCCAACCAGAGATTAAATCTATATAGTGGATAAAAAAATTCCCAAAAGCGGCTGTAGGAGGACTTTGAAGCGCATTACCGTGGTATGAGTACCCGGGCAAAGTGGAATACCTGGAAGATGCGTGGCAGACGAACTTTCAAGGTGGGGAACGAACAATGGGCGAAGGACCCAACATGTTGCGTTACTAAGCAGATTTGGATAAGTATAAACACCTAATGGGAGTATATACAGGAACAAGGAGGAGGTGGAAATTGTAGAGCACTATGTCTGACACTGCTGCGCTTCGGCAAGGTAACGTTATATTATTTTTAATAAATATCTATTACAGTGTTTAAGTGATCTCGACTCAGTGGACATTCGAGACCTTCAATGCTACGTTGAAGGAACTCGGAGGTTCTACCAACTCGGAAACTAATAGAAGGAACAAAGGGCTCGATAAAGTCACATAAAAATGAACCTACTAGCTTAAGAGCAACTCTCTGCCGGACTGTACGTAGTGGCAACCACCGAAATCTAACCTAACCAAACGTCAAGGTAATAATTGCACTTGACTAAGGTGAAGGAAGGGCTGTACAGTGGGTACCAGTGTGTTCTATTTTAAGCCCTAGAGGCTGTGAGCGTAGGTTCTAGAAACTATGTTTTATGATGGTTCCATATATTTCATTTATTGCATATAACCAGGGGTCTAACGTCCTCAAAATATTTAAATATATATATTTATTTTGATTCAATACTCAGAAGAAAGCATTTGCTCAAAACAAGAAAAAAGTATCCTCATTTTAGAGTTAGGCTGACTTCCAAAACGTCAATTGCTTTGCATACGTACATAGTATAGGGTTCCATAACGTCGAACTACAAAATATTGACAATGTATACTGTTCCAAAACGCAGCCGAAAAGTTATCGAAGCGCATCGCTAGAGCAATCAGCGCATCAGAAACTAAGTTGATGCTTTGTTTGTCATTGGTTAGCATTGGTGTATTAGAAATGTAAAATTCAGGAAAATTGTTCATTGCTATATTGAATATTTAAAATATGCAATGTATATGGTTGCAATGTGTCATAACTCTGCATAACCAATCAGTTTGAGTACCGCAGTATAACAGTTTCCAAACATTGTATTGATACGTTTTGGAAGTCAGCCTTACTGTTTTTTCCTTATTACTACAAAAAATTTATTAAATTTGGGAAGTTTTTCCTTAATTCAGGTATAGGGCGTCATTAATTTGAGGAAGTAAATTGACTCAATATAAATAGTAATTTCATCAATATAAGTAATAATTTCCTTAAATAATTTTTAATTTTGTCAGTGCTGTTAAGACAAAGTTAAGTGCTTTCCTGGCAAATGTCGGATGTGGCGTCGCGTGAAGACTACTGCTTCTGGTTCTGAGATCGCAGGTTAGCGTCCGGTTGGAGGTGGTTAGAATAAGGTAAGTCGTTATTTCAATTTAAATATAAATTACAAATTGTAAAATTAATTTCCTATATGGAAAAACTTAAATACTCAAATACCATACAAAATGAATCGTATATATTTTTTTAATTACAATTTAAAAAATTTCAATTAAACATATAAAAAGTAAAAATATTAAAAAGAAAAATTTCTGCTCTGGGACTTGAACCTTGCATTTCTCGGCTAGCACTCCAGAGTTTTGCTCTGTCGGCCACTGCCACTGTCTGAGCGCCACGAGCAAAATGACATACTTATTCCTTTTACGGGGGATGAAATGGCAAGTAAATTTTTCCCAAAAACTAAGGAATTGTGTTTTCCTTAAACTGAGTCAAATCGTTTACTCATATTAAGGCAGCCATGTCATTGGAGACATTTCAAGGTAATATTTCCTTAGAATAATATTCTTTTTTGCTAGTATCAATGAATATTTTTTCTGGGTGGACGCGGCAGAAGTATTTTGTTTGCTGTTGTGTTGTCCCAAGAACGGACTATGAGTAATGAAGTTCGACGGTTTGTTCGATTTAAGATCTCCTAGACAGCAGCCATTGGTCGCGTAAAATCCGTGCCATTTCGGTATGAGGCACTGTTTTGGGTATAAAACACTGGGTCACTCCCAAAATTTTCAATAACAAAATTTGCGAACCTAAATAGATATTGAACCTTTTTATTACTTATATGTAGAAATTTAGCAAAAAATCGTTTATTCTCAACAAGTTTGATATATTAGGTCTGTCGGTTCGGCATTTAATTTATGTACATAGGTCAAGCAGGTAATTTGTTTAATTCAGGCATAATATAATCAAGACTATTAATTATTTGCAAGTAAACATTAATTAGAACGGCCAACATCAAAGGAAGATAATGGATGTCTGGGAGAAGTATTTTATAAGCCGTAACATGATGAGGTAAGGTGTCTGTGAAAAAATTCGTATATAAACAGGTTTTTGATACCACCCAGTGCGCTTTTCTATTTTAAAAAGTTTAAAATAGAATTTATTTTAGCACGCTTTTTGCGGCTACAAATTCTTTTTCGCTTCTGCTTTTATTTACTTTTTGTTGTGTAGTTACAGATGATTCCCCCCAACAGCACCTTTTAAGTTTTTCCAGGTATCCCACTTCGGCATCCAGGTGATTTGTATCATTAATAATAGACGATGTACTTATTTCAGGTATAATATCATCCAGTATTTCCAACTCTCTGCGGGTAAACAACAAGTCTAAGACTTTGCGAATCCCAATCATAACAACTAACATCAAAGGGAAAAGAATGGATGTTTGGGGGAAAGATTTTATCAGCCATAATATGATGAGGCAAGCTAGCTGTATGGCTGTGAAGAGATGGACTCGTTTGATGGGAACCTGTAAGGAAAGAAATTTACTATTTAAAAGTTAAAAGAAACTGAGGTATTTTAGATGTTAAGAGACATACATACATAGCTACATTGGTATATACCTACCCATGTATGAATTTTGAATAAACTACACATATAAATACCTACATATATGTATATATGCCAGATAAGGCTTCATCAAGTTAAAAATGTAAATTGCTTCCTCTCTTTCCAACCGTTTAGAGCGTGATCAAAAATGTTTTCATCAGTTTTCTCTTCGACCTTTTAACTTATTATACTCTTATCATTCTCGGTGCCTGTTAATTAGCCTGGATACCCCGAAAATAGGAGACCTTTTAACGCGCTAACTTTTTGCTAAACTCATAAATAAGTCGATTGATTGCGCCTCCCTTCTAGATAAAATTGCATTCAATGTCACTTCCGGAATACTTCGTCGTTCGGAATTCTTTAATATTATAGTACATGTGCAGAATTAGGTACGGTCTTCAATTATGGTGATTTCATGCAACCTTGTACCATTTTAATCAACTACCTATGTCAATTCTTTTCCCAGCTACACCAATAGCCATTTATTGCTCGTGTGCTACATTTTATTTGTACGTTAGTTTTACTTTAACGTTAATTTCTAGATAGTTTAAGATTTATACGTAGTCTGTAAGACTATTTGTATTCAAAAACTTGAAGTAAATAAAAGACCTTTGGTTTTTTCGTAATACCTCTCAACGATAGCTTGATGGTAAGAGAAGGAGGAAACGCTCCTGAAGTCGCCGCGCTTCGAATTCTTCCCACGACTTCCATTGCCTACGATCTCAGATGATAACATTGAAGCCTACTTTTGTTCACTGCGCCGCACCGCTGGTCCAGCTCTTAGTGAACCCATCTTGCACGATATCTTGGTAAGTCGCTTACCGCCTTACACACAAGCGGCAATCATCACATAAAACGTTTCGATTGTCGAAAAAGTAAAAATCGCGTTCTCTATAACTGAGTGTTTCCCATTAAAGGAGGCTAGCACTGAAGCTCCGCAGTCACATGGAATTTCTAGCCTGCGAACCGAAATTGCCGCTCTTTCCAAACGAGTAGGCATGCTGATCGACAACGGCAATGTTAAAAATCGAAATCGTGCAAGATCATCGTCACGCTCCAGTGCAGTGGTATTTATACATATGGCAAAGTTATTTTAAGTTTTAATCTTAATCTGCGACGTGAGTCTCTGTGGAGTTTTATTATAGCAGACGTATCACAAGCTATACTGGGTGCAGATTTCCTAGGACATCACGGACTAATTGTCGACCTTAAGGGACGGTGGGTCATTGACCGTACCACGCTACTAAAGCCTGAATGCTTGGTAACGCATTTAAAAACATCAAATGTTTCTATGATAAACACCGCGCAAAGCTTATCTGATTTTCGAAGAGAGTTTTCTGAAATGACGTGCCCAAAACCTATCGGTATTCGAACGAATACATCCGTTGTTCACCGAATCAACACGACTGGTCAACCAACCTATGCTCGGCCGCGACGTCTATCGGCGGAACAACTTGTAGCTGCACGAGAAGAATTTGAGTCTCTTATTAAACTGGGAATTAACCGTGCATCGTCAAGCAACTGGACCTGCATTTAGTAAGAAAATCCGATAGATCGTGGAGACTCTGCGGCGATTATAGAGCGCTAAAAGCTATAACGATTACCGATCTTAGAGGATTTTTCCACCCTTTTAGAAGGAAAGACAGTGTGCTCTAAAATTGATTTGCAAACTGCTTTTCACCAGGTGCTGATTCACCCGGACGATATTGCCAAAACCGCCATAATAACTCCATTTGGGTCATATGAGTTTACCTGTATGACGTTTGGGTTGCGAAATGCTGCACAAACGTTCCAGACAATATTTGTATCGCATCGAATTCCGTTGGGAGATGTTCGTTTGAATTTCAATCGTTTAAAAAATTACAACCTGACAATTAACGTAGCTAAGTCACAGTTTGGAGTATCCGAGTTGAAGTTTTTGGGACACTCCATCACAAAAGATGGCACTTGGCCCTTGCCAAGCCGCGTCGAAGTAATTACGCGTTTTAAGTTTCCAGCCGTGGCGAAGGAATTAAAACGTTTTTTAGCAATGCTTTGGATTTTTTCGAAAATTTTCACCGAAGTGCGGTATAGTACATACGGTCTCGAGCCGGCGGCGACGTACTTTGCGATCCGCCACTTTCGTTACATGATAGAAGGCCGTAACATTCTCACCATCGTATTTCGTCAAGCTTTACATAAAGTATGAGATCGGCAAGTGAGACAGTTGGACTTCATTTCAGAAATAACAACTGATATTCGACATGTGAAAAGCGAAGAGAACGTCGCCGCTGATCTTTTATCAAGCATATATTCTCTTACGGCTTGACCTATTAATTACGATGAACTTGCCGATGACCAAATCAACGATGATGGTTGAACTCGTGTTTAAAGGGTAATATTTACCATTCGCTTAAATTGAAAAGTTTTATACTGCATTTCAGTTCCAAGAAGGTTGTTTGCGACATCGCGACAGGCCCTTTCGTCATGAAGAAGTGTCGTAATCAGTTTCTTGACGCAACACACAACCCTTCGCACCCTGGAATGCGCGCTACAGCTAAACTGATGGTGCAACGATTTGTATGGCCTGGAATTCAGCACGATAGCAAGATGTTTGCCACAACCTGCGTTCAGTGCCAACGGAATAAAGTTACTCGTCATGACACGACTTTGCACCGTATTGAGTCCCCCACGACAATGCTTCGGACATCTGCGCATCGACATTGTGGGCCCATTCCTACTGTCGGATGGCAACAGGTATTGCTTGATGGTGAAGGATCGCTTTACACGATGGCCAGATGCGTTTCCGACACCCAACATGAGAGCGGCAATAATTGCTAAAACACTCCTCGGCGGATGGACCGCAACTATTGACATCACGTCAGACCTCGGCCGCCAATTTGAGAGCAAGTTATTCCGCGAGCTGATGTAATGCGTTTGCGTTTCGCACCTGCGTATTACACCCTACAACCAACAGCCGAACGGACTCATAGAGAGTTGGCATCGTTCCTTCAAAAGTGCAATTTTGTGCCATACGCTCAGCCTTTAAGCTGATTTGGGCTGTACACCTGCTGAACTAGTGTGTGGAGCCACTCTACGACTACCATCAGATTTTTTCGTGGCACACCCGGACAATATGAAAGAAGCAGAAATGGTAAAGGAGTTCCGCAAAATCATGAACGAACTACAGCCAGTATACACCGCTTGGCATACCCTCAAGAAAATCTTCATTCATGCTAAATTGGATTCATCTGACAATGTTTTTAGCAGGAATGATTCCATCCGCCCGTCTCTATCAGCGCCTTACAGAGGACTATACAAAGTCTTGAGTCGAAATGCGAAATACTACTTCGTCGAAGTGAATGAAAACAGAATCAAGGTTTCCATCGATCGTCTCAAGCCCGCTTTCATTACGCCTCCTACAACTCTCTAGGATGGTGATATTGTGTTGTGTCCTCACCATTAGCGAAAGCTAAGTCACGTAGTCTGTCTTCAACCTTAGATAGATAGATTAAGTAGAGGTATGCACTGCGACCAAATGATCTATTGTGCCCTCGACTGTTTAGAGTACCTCATCTAGTCCCAGAGAACCCAAAAATTTAAGGAGATCTCCGGGGGCTAGCGATTGTAAGACTTCATCGCTTGGCCAGAGTTGGCCCAGGTGTCTCTCCCGTCTTCTCGCAACTGCCTCGCATTCGCGAAGCAGATGCAGAGGGGTCTCCTCAGCCACATCGCAGAACCGACATAGGTCGTTAGACCAGATCCCCAACCTGTGCAGGTGACCTCTCAGTCTGCAGTGACCCGTCAGAAAGCCTGTCAATATCCTTACCCTTTCTTTGGGAAGGTTTATAATTGCTCTATACCTTGTATGGTTGTAACCTCCCAGTAGGCTTTTAGCCTGGCGTTGGCCTGCCGTATTACGCCAGTGCTGATTCCTTACTGTGTTCCTCTCCTTCCTGAGCTCTTCCTTGATTGTACTAGGTCCAACCGCTATGAAGGGCTCAGACCCTATAGGCAACGAGGCGGCTGCCTTCCTAGCTAGTCGGTCTGCTTCCTCATTGCCGACAACTCCTACGTGACCTGGCACCCAAGTTAATTGGATGTCGTTGTACTCCGCCAGGGCGTTGAGCTTATCAATACACTCAAGAACCAGAGAGGACTTGACCTCAAATGATAATAGGGCCTTGAGTGCTGCCTGGCTGTCGCTCATGATCAAAATCCTTTCATTACGATAGTTCCTACGCAGGTTAATCTCTGCACACAGACTTATGGCATAGACTTCCGCTTGGAAGATGCTTGGGTATACGCCCATGGGTACCGAAAGCTTTAGCCTTGGCCCGTGAACGCCTGCCCCAATACCTTCGGGAGTTTTGGAGCCATCTGTGTACCATTGCATTGAGCTCGCTTGTATCTGCCTCTCCAAAGAAGAGGTGCTCCAAGTCGACTTGGTGCAAAGCGCTATTTTGAATCTTCTGTCAAAGCTAACTAGTTTGGGCCTGTCGTCTCTGGGGAACAGAGCTAATGGAATTTGCGAGCCTAGCTTGTCCCTGTACCTCGATGGTAGGATTTTACCTTTACCAAAGCCTTCTCTTGCGAAGTTCAATAGAGTTCGCCTTGCTGCCTGTTCAATGGTAAGGTGCAGTGGCTCGAGCTCCAGAATCACCTCTAGCGCCACCGTCGGGCATGTGCGCATTGCCCCCGTAATGCATACACACGCCAGACGTTGAAGCTTAGCGAGGGATTGTCTCACCGTTGCGAGGGTGGTCCTCGATACCCACGCCACTGCCCCATAAGTAACTATTGGTCTAACTATCATGGTATACATCCATCTTAGGATCTTGGGACTGCAGCCCCAAGACTTCCCGGCCAGACGTTTGCAAACCATTAGTGCCCTCGTGGCTTTGCATGTGGTCGCGTCGACATGCGCCTTCCACAGAAGCCTGGAATCTAGTGTTAGTCCTAGGTACTTGACTTCGGTGGCGACGTTGACGGCGACACCATTCAAAGTGATGTTCCTCATACCTGGGAGTGTTCTTCTTCTAGAAAAGGGGACGATAACGGATTTGGAGGGGTTGATGCTCAGGCCCATACTCAAGCACCAGCCTCTCGCAAGGTTTAGTCCCCTTTGAACTATATCGCATAGAGTGCTCACGAACTTCCCCCTGGCAATAATCACAATGTCATCCGCATAACCTTGACAACGGATGCCATTATCAGTGAGGATCTGTAGAAGTTCGTCCACGACTAAGCTCCCCAGAAGAGGGGATAAAACTCCTCCCTGTGGGCAACCTCTTGTAGTTTGTAGCTGTACTACGCCGTCCCCGATGTCGGTTTCAGCTATCCTTGTGTTGAGTAACCTGACTATCCACCTACGGATGGTTGCCTGTACGTTACGTTTTTCAAGCGCCCGGTCGACACTACCGTGAGAGGTGTTGTCAAACGCCCCCTCAATGTCGATGAAGGCACAGAGTACTGTCTCCCCACACTCAAGAGCACCTTGTATATCCGTGGACAGGGCGTATAGTGCAGTGTCCGTGGACCTGCCCACTCTGTAGGCATGTTGGTCGGGGTGCAAAGGCGCTACCTTAAGGGTGTTGTTCCTAATTTCATGGTCGATGACCTTCTCCATTGCTTTTAGCAGAAAGGAGGTAAGACTTATCGGCCTGAAGGACTTAGCGAGAGAGTAATCTCTCTTACCTATCTTCGGGATAAATATAACCCGAGCTCTTTGCCACGCCTCGGGGATATGGGCGAGCGCTAAGCTCGCCCGCATGATGTTGACGAGGTGTGGCAGTAGGAACTCCTTACCTTGCTTCAGCAACACTGGACAGATGCCATCCACCCCAGGGGATTTGTACCGATCAAAGGAGTCCAAAGCCCAGCAGACCGATCGGTGGGTGATTAGTCTTCTGGCCAGCTTCCAGTCTGCAGGGGATGGCCTAGTTCTTTGGTATGGCACCTCCCTCGTGGTCGGAGTGGCATCCGGGAAGTGGGCCGAGAGCAGGGCAAGCACCCTCTCTTTTTCGTTCCCTGAGTAGGTACCACTAGCTAGCAGTATTGCTAGTTTGGTGTCAGTATGATCCCTCGCCAGGGCCTTATGTAGTCTCGCGGCTGCAGGAGTCGATGTGATGTCCTCGCAGAACTTCCTGAAGCTGCCCCGTTTGGCTTTCCTGATCTCTTTACTGTACTTAGTTAAACTGGCTGAATACTCCGCCCAAAGCCCTGTACGCTTTGCCCTGTTAAAAAGTTTTCGTACCTGCTTTCTGAGCACCGATAGCTCCCGAGACCACCAGCTGGGCTGAGCCTTCTCTTTTGGTTTCGCCTCTGGGCAGCTGGAGTGAAAGGCATCCATTATGGCGCCATTCAGTTCGTTAACGGTGCTCTCTAACCTCATATGATCGACGTGCCTGTTCTTGGACTGTATTACAGTCAAGTTTGATTTTAAATTTTCGCTGTATCGTTCCCAGTCAGTTTTCCTGGGGTTTCTAGTTGCTTGGTTTGTTCTCGCCTCCGCTCCCAACACAAATTGGATAATCCTGTGGTCCGATAATGAAGGTTCCGACGAGACCCTCCATTGGGTGACCAGAGGGCTAGCCAATCTGTTGCTGAGCGTAACGTCCAGTACTTCTTCCCTAGCCCTCGTAACAAATGTCGGTGTTTGGCCAACATTGTGGATGCTAAGTTCCTCGCTTAAAATGTACTCTAAGAGACACTCACCTCTGCGATTTGTGGCCGTGCTGCACCATTCAACATTATGGGCGTTCGCATCGCACCCCACTATAAGATGGAGCCGTCTCCTCCTGCAGTGCTCCACTAACCTCTGTACCTCTTGTGGTGGGGAATAGCTGCTGTCCCCCGGAAAGTAGGCCGCAGCGAACACCACCTCTACGTTGCTATCGCAAATGGTCAGCGACGTCTGCACTGCGACTAGGTCCTGTGTTAAAAATTCTGTAATGCAAAAGTAATCAATATTTTCTTTAAGCACTACACACGCTCTGGGCCTCTCGCAGGAGAGGTCCCAAATTACCTTGTTCCTTTTATGGTTGAGGCCCCTCACCTGGCCTCTGTAGGTCCACGGCTCTTGGATCAGTAGGATACCCAGGCCATCCGTGGCAAACCTGCTGGTGATGACCGCCGAAGCAGCCACCGCGTGATGCAGGTTGACCTGGGCTACTGCCAAGAGTCGGGGATTCATAGGTGGAGCTCGTCCAGGTCGGAGAGCTGTAGTTCGCTCTCGTTCCACTTATCAAGCTCTAGTCGCCTCAAGTCCAAACCTGATAGCAGCTCCTGCGTTGAGGGCACGTGTTCCGCTGAGGTGGTGGTAGCGGTATGCCCGAGCGTGCTTGCGGGAGCTGGTGTTTCTGCAGGTGGTGGCTGCTCCGCCGGTAAGCCCGATGTCGACTCGGCCGTCTGGGCAGCAGAGGAACCGGCGACCACGTCGATTTGAGTCTCCTGCGCCTCCGACTCCTTGCTGCCTGTTGCCTTTTGTCTCCACGGTCTTACCGTGACGAAGCTGAACCTGTAGTTTAGGTTGAAGCCAGCCCTCTTAATACTGACGTAGGACTCCTCATCAATACCTAGAAACAGCCTGAGCCCGTTTTCCTCAGTGGTGCTGGACACTACTTTCCACGCAGAAGTGTGGATACCCTCGTTCTGCGCTTTCAGTAGCCCCAGCGCAAACTCGGCGGATTTGTCGGCGCTCCTTGGGAGGAACACCGTGATGTTGTGCATCGGAGGGATATCGTCCCCTCTCTTCGTGCACATCCCGGGTACCTTCCAGCCCTCAAGTGCTGGTGCCTTCTCAGCCAGCCAGGTTGCTGTCTTCTCGTCCCTGCAATCAACGAGAAGCATACCGGACCTGAAATACACCCCGCAGAAAACCAGCGGGTGCGACCAACCTTTGAATACCTCCTCCATGATGGCATCTTGGAGTCTGGTTAGGTCCTCCGGGCTCAAGGCAGCAGCAGGGTACTCACACGGTAGCACAGCTACCCGGATGCCTTTGAGGGTCTCCGAGTAACTGGGCTGCTGAGTGGCGCTCTCCTGCACCTGTCCCTGCCCGGCCGGCCCAGCCAGGCTCTTAGGCCATGAAGTCGTGGCTGATCCCGCTGCCGTTTGGTGCTAGGTGTCTCAGGCGGAGTGATTTGGTTGCTCCCTCTCTTGACTGCGTCCCCTTTATGGCCAGGGGGTTCCCCGCTTCTCCGCCATCCGGCGGGCGCGGGTCTGTGCTGCTGTTGTTGCTGTGGCCCGCTTCTCTGCTTTGCAGCAGGTGCGGGTAAGTGTACCTGTTTATTGGGCCCGCTCTTCCACCTATCGGCAGGTGCGGGTTTGTTGCCTTTGCTGCTACGCTCGTTCTCAACCTCCATTCTGACGCTGGCCATGGCTCTGGCCTCAACTGGGGGCTTGCCCTGTTCCAGGTACCGAAGGTACCACTTGACCCCGGAGCCGCTCAAACCTTCGCGGTGTCGGTCGTCCAGAGCCCCTGGCTGACCTGGCAGAGGCATCGGAGGAGGTTTGGCCCTGCGGTTTTTCTTATTCCTCTGCTTCTGCCAACCAGACTCGTCAGAAGTAGCGGAGGCGTTGCTGCTGGGAGACCTGTGTCTACCTCTCCCTTTCCGGTTATCGCTGTCAGAGCGGCGCCGACTCTTTGAGCGCTCCCGGCTTTTTGAGCGGTGACGACTCTTTGAGCGCTCCCGGCTCTTTGAGCGGTGACGACTCTTAGAGTGGCACCGACTGCTTGAGCGATGCCGACTGTTGGAGCGGTGACTGCCCTCGGTACGGTGGCTGCTTCCTGATCTCGCTGTTACTGTGTGCCTGTAAAGAGAACTGCCGGACCGGTGTTGCGGCCGATCTAATTCGGCAGATGAATCATACAAATCTAACACATCTTCATTTGCGAAAGTACCTTTTTTGCCCCGTGCCTTGCTACAGGACGCCTCTGCACTGGTGCCT